ATCAAAATTTGAATGTACATAATCTTTGATTCAGCATTTCCGCTTCTAGACATCTATTCTATAATATATTTACATATTGACAAGAGGATGTGAAGACCGTAATATAGAAGTATTATTACATAAATATCCATTAATCCAAACTTATATAAATAAATGATTAAATAAATAAATAAGGGAGAACAGACAAATCTTCTATGCAGAAGAATTCCAAATAAGTTTTGTAGATTCTTCACCCCAGAGGAGCATTACTCCCCAGCTTCCAGTGGAGGGACCCAACACAGCCTGATCAGGTGACCAAGGTCAACATGGACAGTGTTAAGTCCTGCTGATAATAAGTACCCCTGATACAGGCTGATGAAAATGGCACTTTATCTCTGGGGTGGTCCTTCTAAAAACCCATAACCCCAGTCTAATCATGAGAAAAATATCAGACAAATTCCGTACTGAGGCTTTCTGAAGAATACCTGACCAGTCCTCATGATTGTCAAATGCAAGGAAAGTCCTAGAAAGCGACACAACCAAGAGGAGCCTAAGGAGACATGGCAGGGAAATGCGATGTGGGATCCTGGGGGGATTAAAATTAAGGGGATGGGGAAAAATGGAAATCACAACATACAGAAGCTATGAGATGCAGATAAAACAATGCCTAGAGGCAATTTTTAGCTTTAAAAGGCTACATAAGAGGGGTAGAAAGTTTCAAAATCAGTGATCGAAAGTTCCACCTTAAGATGACAGAAAGAAGATCAAATCAAAAACCAAAATAGAAGAAGTAAAAGAATGAATGGAAGTCAATAAAACACAAAAAGAACAAGCGATTAAAAAAATGATCAATGAATAACAGCTGGCTTTTTGTAAAGATAAAGAAAATTGGCAGACTTCCAGCTAGATTAAGAGAGAGAGAGAGACCGAGAGGTCTGTTCATAGCTTCTTTACATTTATCTATAATATTTTGCCCTTTGTCTCTCAATTTTTAAGAGATGTTTATATGTGAGTGATATCAGCTCTTAGAGTTATTTTTTTGTATATTTTCTCCCACTTTCAGATGCCTTTTGCTTCTGACTTTTTGACACACAGTTTTTATATATCTTGTGTTGTCCAGTTTGGCAATCTTTTCTTTTATTGCATCTGAATTTTGAGCCATAATTAGAAAGCTTTCCTCTACACCAAGTTTAAGGAGAATTTGACCATTTTTCTTCTAGTAGTTGTAGGATTTCATTACATTTAGTTTCCTCATCAAGGTGGAGTATATTCTTAGGGATAGAATGAGATATGATTCTAAGTTTATCTTTTCCCAAATGGCTACTCATCTGTTCCAGCACTATTTATTAAGAACACCATATTTTTTTTCTCCAGTGGCTCAAGAAACTGTCATTGTAAATGTGTGAATTTCCATATGTACCTGGGCCTAATTCTATACTTCATATATTTTTTCCCACTGGTCCATTTGTCTATGCCCATGTCAGTCCCACAGTTTGCATTCTAGAAGTGAGTGTCTTTACATCCGGTAGAGTGAGTCCCCACCGTTAGTTTTTGTTTTCCAGACTTCTCATGAGTACATTTTCATGTTAGTTTTTCCTATGAATTTTATCAAGCTGTCTAACACTACAACATGGCTTGTTGGTGTTTTTATTGAGATGACATTGATTCTGTAAATCAACCTAGAGAGAGCACATATCTCCATGATGTTGAGTTTTCATATCCAAAAAAACAAAACTGATTTTCCATTTGGTCAAGGTGAGTTTTGCAAATTTCACAAACACTTTCAAATTTTCCCCCTATGGGTTCTTGTGCAGTTCTTGTTACGTGTATTTCTAAGTATTAAGTTCCTTATTGCTATGGCAAGTGGAATTTTCTCTGCTTATTGTTTGTGTATATGAAAACTATTGATGTTTGTGTTAATTTTATATTCTATTACACCACAGAATTCTTTTATTGTTGAGGTTTTACAATAGACTGTCTTACCATCTGTAAATAGAGAAAGTCTTTTTTTTTTTACTCATCTCCTGCCTAATTGATTTATCTTGTATGATTGAATTGGCTAATACCTCTACCAAATGGTGAGCAGTAGCAGACATAGTTGGCATCCTTGCTTTTCTCCTAATCCTTGGGGAAATGTCTCTAGTACCTCTAGAATTTCCCCCATTAATTAACATGGTGGGGAATTAAGGAGTGCCCTTGTCATTAGGAGCACTGGCTGATGTATGGAATTGTTGAATCACTATATTGTACCCCTGAAGCTAATATAACTCTGTATATTAACTATACTGGAATAAAACAAAACAAAATAAAATAAAATATGGTGTATTGAAGACTAAATTTATCTATATATCTATCTGTGTATAGATGGTATGTGCATATGGTATGTATATTCATATTAAGAAAACATTCTATTTTCTTGAGCATTTTTTTTTATCATGAGCAGGTGTTGAATTCTGCTAAAGGCTTTTCCACATCAATAGAGATTGAGAAGAAATACGAATTAAACTAATTTTTAACTAAAAACATCTCAAATCTATTCATTGGGAAAGAATCACTGAAAATCACTAAGAAAATACAATAAGTAGCATTTCCTGATTTAAGAAATGTGAATCTTTTTTTCAAAAGTGAACTTCCAGGACTTGTGTACTAGTGAGCACACTTTGGAGAGCAATGACCTTGTTGATCCCCAATCTTCTCTCCTTTATTATGTGTAAGGATAAAGGAGGTCCTGCAGATGTTAACAGAGATAGTAGATAGTGTTCGAGTCAGATGGAAGCTGGCACCTCAGGACCCTTCTGCTAGTGGTCGGTCACCTCTCACAGCCGTTTTCGGGACCTTTATTATGGGATCTTCTCAACAGACCTCTTATACAACAAGCTTAGCCAATTGGCATGCCTGTCTTCAAAATCAAATGATTTGAGAAGGCAGCACGTCACTATGGAGATGCTGAGCGTGCGTGAGGGCTCACATGAAAGAAAGACTTATGGCAATAAAGTCTTCTGACACCTTGGCAAATTATTTTGTATGTGTTTTCTTTATTTCTTGTGAATTACCAAAGCTTATGCAAGTAGGAAATATGAGAGCATGAATTGTTTGGCTTGTTTCTTTATTTTTCCTCTTTCCGGTGGTAAGGAAGCAATACAGAGGATAAAAATCCCACCGTCAAGAGTGTGACGTTTTATGAATTTGAATTCTAAGAACAGACGTGCTGCGACTGGAACTGGAAACAAGGAGAGACAGACCGAGAAGGCATGTGTGTGAACCTCATGGCTAAAATATGGTCTGGGCTTCTAGCCCATGATCTGGCTCACTGTCAAGGCCAACTTTGCATAGCCTTAAATTCAACAGGTGTGTTAAAGCGACAAGCACCATGATTTGCTTTTTCCTGGGAGGATTTGATTATGTTGTCCTTCACTCTCCAAATCGGCATAGACATTTTTATTGTCAAAACTAAAAACCCAGTTTTCCTCATCACTTGTTAATATCCCCACCTTTGATCGGTTTTCTTAGGGAATGCCGCTAAAAAGTGCTAGACGAGGTGTGTAGTTATGACCAACCTCGGATGAAGGCAAAGCCACTCAAAATAGGACAGGTTTGCTCTTTGCCCTGTGTTACTGACCCTGCGTTTTCTTGCATACAGAAATAAATGAAACCCGACTTTTAGCTTCCTCTGTTTGCAAGAGCTCCTGGACTTGAACACTGACTATGAATCACCATGCACAAAGGGCATATTTCACAGAAGTATAAAGGTACTGTATTTATCTTGTGATGGCACATAAATTGCCACTTTATATTGTGGGCTTTGTACCTTTTTTATTGCAGCAAAATTAAGTGTTTTTTTTTTCTTTTAAAGCATCTACTGATGGTCTCTATGGTTTGCTCATCCCTCCTTCTCTGCGTGGAGACCCCCCTGTAGTCATAGAAACTTTTGCACTGACTCAAGGCCCCAGAGTGTCCCCTGAAGCCTCGGACCTCAGGCTCCAACGCAGTCTTGCAGTCCTGGCCTAACAATCTTTCAGATCTCTTTGGGCATTCCACTGCTGGCAGATTTATCCCGAACCTTTAGGCTTAAGTGCATTTTCTCAGGAAAAGTCAGCCATAATGTTGCATTAATAAAGCTTATTGGTTTGGGTTAGGTCGGTTTCTTTTCTTACAGTGATGTGCACGTTGAGTTCCCATTAATGGTGCGTGATGTGGACATATTGACAGGAGAATAGGTCCCCTGGGCTCTATGTGTAGAGCACATTTGTTAATTGGGAAGTACTTTATACAAATATCCCACACATCAGAAAAAAAATGAAAATTACTTTAGAAAGAAAGAGGAAAAATATTTTGCTGATTTGGGAAGGGTTTTTCTTGAGAGGATGGCAAGATATAATTCCCAAACGTCACAGAATGCTTTTCCCCGTATGGGAGGCATCCAGAAAGAATCGCACTATTGTTCTTTCCAGGCTCCTTTTTCTCCCCCGTTCCTTCTTGCCATCGTCTCCTCAGGTAAAATTCACGCTTCTTTATAGCTGCACTGCCTGTGATGGGAAAAGGGGGACCCTTCACTGGCCACAGAGCATCCTTTGCAGACACAAAGTGCGCTCCCTGTGGACGTACCCCCACGGTGCCCCCATTCAGAAGCCTTTCTCTTGTGGCCTTCCACCGACTCCAGCGACGGTCCCAAGGATCTCGGCTAGTTTAAGATACGTGTCCCTGGTACTCCCTAAATTGTGTTACTTCTCAGCAAATGGTCAAGCCTCCAGACTTCCTCTGAACAGCTCGTCCGCCTGTCCCCTGCAGGCTCAGGGTGACAACAGTGAACTTGACTTGCAAGGGATCGTTTGACATAGCACCGTACGCATCACACAGAATCAGCTTTGGAGTGGAGTCCGTTCTGGATCACTCCGTCCCTGTATGGCACATTGCGTCACATTGCAGTTCGGTTCGACTGCAACACGGGAGTAATTTCCATCACAAAGTGAATGAGTGCTACAAAGGAGTCAGGTCTGCGTGGAGAGTGTGCTCCGTCTCACCAAGGCTCCTGCGGGATCGGACAGCCTGAACCAGTGTGACAACCTGCACAGATGGTGTTGGCAGCTGTGGGAACCAGGTGCAGATTTGGACCTGCTTCAGGAGGTCGGCCGTATTGTTAGGACGATGTTCACATTCTCCGGAGAGGGGCACAGAAGGAAAGGGGTGCAGGCAGGAGTACCAGCTGTCTCTCCGGTCGCCCGGGGTTGACCCACCCCTGATGTGACCTTCATGTCACCTACATAAAAGCCTGGCTCTGTCACTCTCTCTCCCAGCCAGGAGATGTTGCAGGAACCACCCTGGGGATAGAGACCGAAAGTTAAAGACTCATCATCGGAAGCACAGGAAACAGTAAACAAATGCTCTCCTCTCCCCCCACCACTCCGCCCATTTCAATTAGGGATGTAAATATATGCAAATACTCTGCCTCATCCACCCTAGGGTGGTGCTGGGAATTTGCTGCCTTAGGCAAGATGGGGGAAAAGAGCCACAAAGGCACCCACCCCCTCACAGCTTACAGACCCTCCCATCATAGACTCAAGGAAATATTGTGCTGCCCTAGGCAACCACCTGCTCCTCCTGTAAAATCCGCCCCTGGCACCACTTACTTCGTCTCTGCCCGGTGGATCCGTATCACACGTAGACAATCTAAGGTCAGGGAGGAAAAACAACTCAAATGCATTCTAATATAAAAGAGAACATCTACCCCCAGACCAGACCGCCTTCATGTTCTTGTTAAACTATGGATATTTAGTTCCATGTTTTGCTGTCTTATTTTCTCCGGGATTACAAATTCTAGAAAGCTGGTTAGAAAGAAGGGGAGAAGGAAACTGGAATCAGGTTTTTATCAGAAACGAATTTTAACTCTATCCCCCTCCTTTCTGACCCCTTTTCCAATGTTATTATTCTGTGTTTAACACATCCATTCCAATGTTGCCTGACCAATCGCTGTACAGTTTAAAAAAAAAAAACTTTAGGAAAGAAAAAACACGAACTGGTTGCTACAGAGAGTAGTGTCCCGGTGTAAACGTGCAGGCTCTGCATCCATATGATGCAGAGTGCTCTGTGCGTGTGAAGTCGGCCACGGACGTCGCTGGGAGCCAACTCAACACGCAAATGGTGCCTGCCTTCACACCATTTGTATAAATATTACGAAGTCATAGATCAAGCCAGCAAACAGTTAAATAAGATATATTCTGTCTGCCTACTTTGACACACACACATCGAGATAATGTCTGGAAAGGCCAGGTTTGCATGTGGAGTTCTCAGACTCCCTTTTCAGCGCCAGAACCAGGAGGAGCAAGGAATAGCCCAACCCCCTCACCTCCCTGGGGTTTTCAGGTGGGCACCCAGCCCGCATGTCCAGTTTCCACCCACTCCACACAAAGAGCCCCCGTCGGCTATCTGGGGCGGTGGAACCCTCCAGGAGGATGGACAGGAGTGTGCTCACAGTCCTTGGACTGTTTCCTCGGGATGTCCCATCCCCTGGGACTAGCCAAGGCTCCAGGGGTCCAGGTGCCCTTGGCCCATTCGGCATCTTGTTTCTTTAGAAGGGCAAGGCCGGAGGAGAACCAGGAGGGAGCGTGTAACACATCAGGCCCATGATGGGGACCTCCCTCGCCCAAGCCTAAGAGTGACACCCAAGTAGCCAGTCATCTTGGTTGGGCTCTTATAGGCTTGACTCTAGGAACAGGTCTGCCCCAAGCCCCTACTCTGGCCACACACTTGATATTCATTTTCTGACTTAATCCTTACAAATCCTGCAAGGTTTCCGACCAAGGAAAGGGACCCTGGAGGAATTAGCTCAGATGCTGGTTGGTGCAGAGCAAGGCCTTGGCCCAGCAATGCCTGAGAGGGACCCGCTCTCCTCCCTGCTCCCCACCTCGTCCACTGCACCAGGACTTGGCATAAAGATGGAAGGTGCACACTTGAAAACCTGCCGTCAAAGATTCTGGTGACAGTCTCAGAAGGACAATGAAGTGTTAGTGAGTGGAGAACCACAGACGGAGAAGTGGGGTTGCTCATGAACACAGAAGAATGAAAGATCTGCTGCAGGCGTTCTGCGAGAACAGTGAGGCTCCGTGGCCAGAGTGGAGGGGATGCACAGGTCTGTCACCCTACTAGCTGTCCCCGGGGGCCCTGGCACGGCATGGGACCACTCAGCTGGACCTGTCCTCGGTCGTGCCTCCCAGGCTCCTCCAGCCTGTGTTTCCAAGAGGTTGGGAGAAGCTGAAGTCAGGCACCTGTCCTACAAATTCTAACTGCCACAGAAACAGGCTTGTGCGCCCTCTGTACGGGGCTGATTGACACGGAGGCCTCGAAGTCGCATCTGGAAACCTCACACCGAGCTCCATGCCCTTCTGGAACGCCGAGGCTTATATTCTGACATGTGGGTTTAGAGTCCTGTTCCAACCCCTGAAAGTCAGCGCGGAAATGACAACGGTTCCCAGCCCACAAGCCTCCTTTGGTGGGGTTTGGGTGGCGTTGCTATGGTAACCTCCAGCCGGTTTTATGAGAAGCTGCTGGTTTCCCAGCTCTTGACAATGGAGAGGGGGTCAGGTTGCAAGGCCAGCCGCCACTGTCCAAAGTCCTGTCTTCTGAGATGAACACCAATTCCCCAGCACTGAGGGGCTGGTGGGGAGAAGCGCGCGGCTCAATACAGCCCAGGTTTGCAAACATGGGCTGCAAACGTCATCAAACAATGCTGTTCCAGTCATGCTTTTGTCTCCCTGAGGCCTTGAGTCAGTTCTCTATTCTTCACAGCTAGCACCCTACCCTGTAAATGTCGGGAAGAAGGAAGAGCCTGGGAAACCCTGCTTTTGTGTTTAGGTGGAGAAATTGGCAGAGTGCATGGAAAACACCACCTTCCTTTCGCATCTACTTTCTGTATCGCCGCGTCCAGCGTGTGCAGGGGAAGCAGCCACATGCACCAGTTGGTCCAGCTGCTGGGACTGGGGCCCCGGCTGGGAATCCCGGGGAAGGGGCAGGACAAGGGAGGTGCAGGTGTGGGCACTGAGGGTGCCCTGGTCCCCCCATCCCACCCCGAGCATGTCACTGCCACCACTGACATGTGGATCAAAGGAAACGTGATGCAGTACTTCTTGCAAAATTAAATTGACTCAGAAAATGTAGGAGCATCACACTTATGGTTGAATCATCTGGTTCTGAAATAGATCCATTCTTTGATTTTCAAAGACCACAGACACTGTCCTTGAAACATAATATTGATGCCGTGACTATTGACGTGTGCAACACAAACAGGAAAGAATCCTGATTAAATTGAATGTGCAAATGGTGACCTCTTTGTCTGTTGCTGACATCATTATGACATCAACAGCTTGTCATCTTCCAAGACGAACAATTTTGGATATTAAAGAAAATCTAGGATGGTTGTGAAAGCAAAGGGATTGTTAATTACGGGTTGGAGCAATAACAGAGATGCGTGCTTATGACTCATCCGGGCCAAAAACAGATTATGAATCTTGAAACTATGCACTGATGATTTGATTTTATACGATAATATGGCCCACATTTTCCTCAACGCTGTGCGAGTCTCACCGTGCTTGCGTGGGGGCTGACGGGCGGGGGCGCGGGCCCCTCAGCCTCTCTTGCTTCCTCCAGCACATCAGTAGAAGGAGAGGGTGGGCTTTGGTGATTTTCGGCCTCTGCTGCACACCCCAAGCACCTGGGCAGTATTTTTAAAAACACGACGCCAGCGTCCTGTCCCAGGCAAATTGAATTGGACGTCTCTGGGAGCGCAACCAGGGCATGTGTATTTTTTTAATAAGCTCTCCAGATAGTTCTAATTTCACCCAGGATTTAAAACTACTATACGAGATAAACTCTTAAAATGTCTGTTAATCCTGAAATAATGTGTTCTAGGGCAGTGGTTCTCATGCTGCGGGTGTGCCAGAATCATCGATAGGGCAAACATGGGTTGCTGGGCCCGCCCCCTCAATGGTCTGGCTCAGCAGGCTGGGGTGGAGACCTGGCGATTTGCCTTTCTACCAAGTATCTAAGTAGCCGGGATGTTGCTGCCTGGGGACCAGACTCTGAGAATCTCTGCACAAGGGTCTATTTGCACAAAAATACACATCTTAATGTACGACACAGAAATGATTTTCAATGATGTGCTTGACAGTTTGGTGTTGTAATTTGGCAAGCTGTGACCTTCCATCACAGAGCTGCCCGCTGAAATGATGGTCAGTGGTGAACCAGCCCGGCTGGTAGGAAGGTATTACAGTCTCTCGAGGGTATACTTTCTGAGGTGTCTGGCCGGCAGTCCTTAGCTTCATTGCCCTGCCTTCAGTGTCTGATCAACTCTGGAACATGCCCAGTGAGGGACAATGCTCGGAACAGTTGGAGCCACGTCAAGGCGATTTCCATGCTCTGAGCAAACCATCGTTAGCTCTGTTTTGTTGATATGACGTTTGTCCAGGACTGATGTGTCTGTGATGGGTCCAAGGCCCTGGGGTCATTTTGGTCCCCCCAGTCTTCTCAGCCGGCATCGCCTCCAGAAAGGAGAAGTCACCCAGCCACAATTGTAGAATCTGCGGGTCTTTCCTATGACGCCAAGGACCTGTCTGTACACGGGGACTTAGCATCGTGATTACTCAAGTCTCAACCCACAACTGGTGGATTCCCTTGGTGCTCCTGCCAAGGCCTCTGCACTCCCCCCGCCCCGCGTTCACCTACCTGTTGCAGCCCTGGCTTCGAGGCCGGCTTAAACGTGCTCAGGTAAGGGGCTGCAGCATCATTGGAGCTGTTTACTGAATCTCCCCTGTCCCCCACCTCTGGGTACCTGGAAGGGTCCCCGTGGTGGAGTTGGGCCACGTGGCCGCTGTGGCCATCGAGTTATGAGCAATGTGTCCTTGTCTTCGTCCGGCCAAGCATCCCGTCGCTGTTACAAAACACCCAGAGGGATGCCCCCTTCCCTCGGTCACAAGCGCCAGTGTGCTGGAGCGGAGAGCCCCCCATGGCCTGCAGCGGACAAGCAGAGGCAGAAACCACCCTCACAGTCCCGGGCCACTGCTGCCACAGAGCCAACGGGTCCCGATGATGCCATGTCCCAGGAAAGTCTCCCGCACAGTTAGTACCTCCGCTTTCATCTCTTTTTTCGGTATGAACTTCTGCCTTTTGGACGAGGCCTTTGATTTTTTGCTCTTCTGAAAAGCCGATTACAAGCTGGAGCTCTTAGTTTTAAAACTATTTAATGTCCACAAGAGAGCATACAGCTCAAGTTCTGGCTTCTTCGCTTTCATGGTGAATTTTTCTTCAAGACCATGTCACAGGAGAAACGCCCACGAGACCTTAGGAAGACTGCTGACCTCGGTTGCAAAGATCTGTTAAGAGTTCCAGTGGATTGTCCGATTCCAAATCGGCCTGGGCCCCGACCTAGTGCTTTACATGTTTTCTGGTATGTGCTGAAAAATCCTTCTCGTGCTGGTGACTCTTCCCCTGTAGCTCCCATTTGTAAGGCAGCTTCACTTCCCGCAGCCGGTTCCCTGATGAACTCGTTTGGAAGGAAGAATTCGGGGGTTTTACTCCAATGCATCAAGGACATTTTATGTGGGGTTCCTCCAAATGTCCTGATGGATGGAATCATTTCCTGAATGGCTCCTGTGGGCTCGGCATCGAATTAAGAGCTTCACAGGGTCACTGAACCTTCACAGCACACTGACACAGGAGCATTAATCCCCATTTTACAGACCAGGCAACCACTGAGCCTCAGAAAGGGCGAGCGTCCAGCCCAACATTGCACAGCGGGAGTGGGTTTGGAATCCAGGTCCACTGGAACACAATCAGTGGCTTTTCCTAGGACCTGTATGGTGACCTGTCACCTTATGGTGACCTGACATTTCATAGATGTGAGAAGGTGTCCACCTTGCAGACCTCACCTTTGGGAGGGTTTCTGTAGGTATCTAGACCTTACATTCCTCGCCAGGACCAGGAACTTTCCTTCAGAAATAATGATGGGGGGAGAGCATAACTGGGTGGAGAGAAGACACGCTTATCTGATTCCTTTTGCAAAAAAAAAAATAGTTTATTATAGCTGATGGGGAGAGGGATGGGCCAAAGTGACGCTCTGCTATGAGGCAGACAGAGATGCTTCCCTTTAAACATACAGATATTGAACCAAAACCCACACCATTACTCTGTATCTGAATTTGCAGGTGCGCATAGAGAGCTAATGTTCACAAGCCACATTCTTAAGGTATTTTCTTTCCCCCAGGGGTGTGGAGTATTTCTCATCAATTTACAAATAAATGGAGAATTCTTAATAAACAATACAAGCCCATTTCTGCCAGGGTTCTGAAGTGCAAAATACAGGCCTGGCTGTGGGAAGTTACTGTTCTTTCCAAAGGCTGGGATGATTGAGACTCACCCCAAGCAGTTCTCAAAAATAATAGCCCATATGAATCTTCTTGTTAGTGACCATCAGTGGCATATTATTTTCTCTGAAGTCACTGTGTCTAACTCACTTTAGCTATCCGTAATGGACACTTTCAAACTGTAGCCCAAATGGAAATGATGATCCGCTCTGCCATGCCATAGTGGGAACCACTCAGAGCAGCCTGGTGAAAGTACAATTATCCTAATACACTCTGGATCCCAGTCTAATTTGCGGGGGCATATGTCTATTTTCATTTTCTCCTGAGATAATCCCATAAGACAAAGCTTCTACACTGGAGGAACATTCTATGGCCGAGGATGAAGGGCCCAGCACTGAGGATTCACATATCGGGGCAGGCTCTGTGAGGCTCCATGGGGCTCTGCTCTCCTAAGCCCCCAAATTCCACAAAGGAGACCATGAAGCCCAAACACTCTTTAGTCGTTCCCACTCAAAGTGGAGACATCCAGTTAATTATCAGCTTCCATTTGACCAATTCATTAGAGAAACAAAATGAATGTTTGTGAAATTCGAGAGGCAGTTTTTTACACTCTAAGAGGGATTGCTCATCAATAATTCCTACGAAACAGAAATAAATAGAGATTAACTGAAGACCTTAAATAAAAAACAAAACAACTCAGAACAATGATGGTTGTCGGGGTTTGGGGAAAGGAGAAGAAATCAAGTCCTTTGCATTGAACCGAAGTGGATAATAAAAATTGTTTTGAATTTTGGTCTCTGAATAGTTGAATTTTAAGGGACAGTTTTGGTTTATTTGGGGAAGAGAGTCACTCTTCGAGCTTCTGCTACATTTTGGAAGTGAAGGACACAGCCTTCAAGGAGAGAGCGACTTTGGTTTGTGTGCATGGCAACACTTGGCCAACAGTGCTCGGGCAGAAAGACAGGTGATCTCTTTACTGAGTCTCTAGCAGGCTTACTGGAGGTGAGGTCAAGACGACACCACCTTTTCTCACTCAAATATGTTACGACTTAAAATCACGTTTAGTGATGCAGAATTGCAACCCCAGGAAGCACGAGCCAGGCAGCTGCTGGGAGGAAACAGGGTGGCGCCCGTTTCCAGAAGCTGTTGCCCAGGTGGCCATCTGCTCAACGCTGGATTCCTTTTGACCGACTTCTCTGTGCAAGCAGCTGGGCAGAAACGGAGCCTGCCTCGCACCAGGCTCAGTGGGACATTTGTCGTTTATGGGCTGATAATTCAGGACACTTCAGCTATCTGTATAGCCTGGAACCAGCCTCCACCCAACAACCACTTTTTGCTCTATTATTTAAAGACATAATGGTTTCCAAATGTATAGAAACTTGACTTCTCTATCTTTTACTAATAGAATATGCAGCACGGACATAGCCCAATTTTAACCTCTCTCTTTCTCACACACACACACACACACACACACACACACACATTACAAATTACAGATGGCTAAGTACATCACAATTTCCTTTTGTTTTTAAATATTTCCAATTTAGTTAATTTTTTTCTTTTTTCTCTCCCAAGTTTTTATTGAAATTCTGGTTAGTTAACATAAGGGTTAATAATGGTTTTAGGAGTAGAATTGAGTGATTCATCACTTACATATATCACCCAGTGCTCATCACAGCAAGTGCCTTCCTGAATCCCCATCCCCCATGTAGTCCTTCCCCCCCACCTCCCCTCCAGCCACCCTCAGTTTCTTCTCTATAATAATTTTTTTTTTCTACTTCAACATGGCCGAAGGATGAGACATCATTAATAACTCCTTGCCTCACCTCCCCCTAGAACTCACATGCAACTGTTTCCGGTGGTAATACCAGAGTCTGGGAGGGGTGTAGGGGGTAGTTTGAGATCTGTTAAGCAGTTCTCATATTCCTCCCTCCTCAGCCATAGCCAACTCCTCGTTTTGTAAGAATGTTCTCAGTGAATAGACCCCAGTACACTGAAATAGAACCTGATGAATGGGTCAACATTTCTCCCCCACCATCCTTCTTTTTGGTAAGGAATGAAGTGCTTCTGGGTACATGACAGTCCACTAGACTAAATCTACATCACAGCAAACAAGTTTTCAGCACATCTCTCCAGACAAACCATGGTGTTCTGACACGGAATATACTTGTGCTTTTTATTTTCCATCTGGCTTTCAGAACATTGGCTTCTACCAAATAGAAAAGAGTTTTAGTGTTTTATTCCCTTTTATTAGCCATTAGTGGAATAGTACCAGGATAGCTTGTTTTGACCATCTTGACTTCTCTGTCTCATCATGCAAAATGCTGTCCTTGGTGATGGGTAGGAAGAAAACCTAAGGACGCTGGTTGTGTCTACACTAAGTAGGAGAAAGAAGCACCAAATGAAAATGTCTTTATTAAGATAACCTCTTAATTCTTTGTGACTCTAAAGAGTTGATTTGATCTATTATTTTCTCAAATTTACTGAATTTTGTCCTGAATTGGCCAAAAGTTTTCACATTCTACAGAGACCACCTGTTCACCATAACTACCAAGAAATTAATATTTATCACTATGCTTCCCTTGCTACTCAAGAAACATCCCAACTGTTATTATTCATTATGACCTTTAAGAATAACAAAATGCCGTTTGATGTACTGAGAGAGAGTACTTATTCATAGGGGAGCGATTTATTTTAAGGGATTGGCTCATACGATTGTGGAGGTTCAAGTCCAGAATCCACAGGGTGGGTTGGCAGGCTGGAGACCCAGGGAAGAGATGCATCTGCGGTTATTTGATTCTAGAAACATCAGTCTTGTCATCTCCTGACAGGAGGATCATACCAAATACATCTTTCATGACTCCTCAGGCAGAACCTGAGCAGATGCTGAGTTTCCCCCAGGGGGCACACACCATGTGTCCCACCACCACACAGGGAGGGGCTGCACAAGAGGCGCTCTCGAGCCCCCAGGACCCAGGCGTACTGGGATCCAAAGCCTGACTCCCAGTGTCCAGTTCTCAGCAGAATCTCAGCTCATCAACTCCTGGTGGGGTGCACTGAACATACATTCCTGTAGGGTCCAGGACACTAGCAGTCCTATCTCTAGTAGACATTAAAGTTTTTCATTAACTTTCGCCACAGGACATGAGAGAAGTCAGAAATATCCCAGATATGTTCTTCCTTTCCCCACCCCCCAAGTAAAAACAACCCAATTCTTCTTAATCGTCAAGATTAATCACTCTAGCCAGTACAGTAACCCCCTCCTTTGACTATTGGTTCACTAGCATGAGATGTGAAAGTGGCCAGAAGTGAAAGTGGCCAGTGGTCTGTTTATGGAACTACTGATCCCCAGTGGAGGCATTCCTCTTTGGGAACTAAGACCTATAAATCATCAGAGTCCAAACTTGCAAAGACAAAAAGGTAAAATTTTATCAGTTAGGTATTAGTGAGAGAAAGAAAATCAGGGGATCAACTCCACCTTGTTTCCCAGCTTGAGTCCTGGCTAAAGAGAAACATCACCATGTCTTGCTTGCTGACTCAGAGAGCATATGCCACATTCTGTAAGACATGAGCCCAGCATCACCTTGACTGGCCACCCATTTGCACCAAAAGTAACTCTTCCACAAGCTATTCATCTGTCTTATCAGGTCAGCTACTTCAAGATGATGAGGTACATGATAAGACAAGCGAGTTCCATAAGCAAGAGAAAATCCCTGCACTTTGTGATAAAATGAGCTTCCTAATCAGGAGCAATGACACACCGTGACAATGGAGAATGCATTTTGTAAGACCATAGACAAAGTTTTTGGCAAAGCATTACAGGCAATGATAAC